TTTGTTCGATTTACCGCTAACTCTTCCACCGCCGTTATTTACTACCATGATGACTCGTGCTCTCTAGATGTGTCGCGCTCTTATCATGAAAAGAACAATCGCGTCTCTCACACGTGGTAACATTTGTCGCACGTAAGAATAATTAATGTATCAAGTAATTGAAATGAAATTTAATGTAGATCATTATCTTATATCTTATTTGAAAGATTTATTCAATTAGGTACATAAAGATTATTTTTCGCGTTTCATTACCGTAATTCAATTACTTTATGCCACTTATAATTAAAAGAGGAAATTCATGAATAATACATTTATGAAGATATCGAAAGATACTATATTAAATACCATAACGTTATTAAACATTCTCCGTCTCGGCCTAAGCGTTACTTCCTACAAGATAATTTATACAGACATTTACGCGTGGCGTGACAAGGTGCGATTGCATAAAATTCCGCGCGTACGTATACCACGCCGCGGGGAATCGTAAACATTCCCCTAAGCCCGACGTTTCACTCTTATCTGCGAGCGTATCGAAAAAAAGGTGACGCGTTGCGAATGGCGAACGAGGAAAAATTTCTCCCAGCGCGTTCGTTCGGCCGCCGCGCCGCTCGGTGACAAGATAACCGAAGTGAGAATTCCTCAAGGTCGGCGAATTCCGCGATCATTGGAGCGTGTATTATCGGCCGTGCTAAATATTTAGGCCGGATACTGGATGTCGCCGCGCCGCGGCATGCTACATATCAGTCTGGCCGATATGTGTCAGATTGTAACGTTCGCATATATTAGAAACATTGTGTACGAGACAAACGCACCAATATCATAGCTTTAGTCGCCGTGTTAAGAACGACTCTAGTAACGAGGCAATGGCACATAAACGGCAAAGGAGTGTTCGCAATAACTATTTCCACGCATTATGAAACTGCCTTTTAAAACAAAATATTTTACAAGAACGAGAAAGATTATGAAAAATGAAGAAAGATCATATTTCGTAATTTGATAGCTTATTTTTCCCAAAACTAATAACATTATAATATTTTTATTTTACAATGTTATAATATGATAATAATAATTGATGTAGATTAAAAAATGTATCATGTGTTTTCTTATCTATAAATGTTTTAATCAATCCAAACATATTTGAACATTTTTTATGAAAAATTTAATTCAGTCTTATTTCGTTTCATAAATTTCTCATATTAAAGCTTGGATTATTTAATAAGTTACTCATAAACAGTTATTTATTATTTATTTAAAAAATTAACATTTATTTGTTATTTATTAACGTTTATTAACGTTCGTTATCAAGCAGTTAAAAAATTATTATAATATTTTCATATCTTCTATTGTGAATCAAAAATTGTCACTTCATTGATTAAAGAATTTCAAGATAAAACGAAAGCCTTAGAGAGAGACTCTTAAGTATAGTAAATGTTAATTAAAATGGATAAAGTTAATTATATGACATACTGTATACTGATATACTGTATACTGTATACTGTATACTGTATACTGATTATATAAATAAATAACGATTTTCATATAATTTTCCCATTTCGATGTAATAAAAGCAGTTCAAAGTAACGCGCTATTTGTTGCCCGACATTCGCAGGAAGAGAATCCAAAGCGCGCATAAATCGTGAGACAAAACGCTGCGATAGAAGATCGATTTGCTCGAGGTGAAATATTCCTTCCGGTGCGGATAACATTATCATTTATCACATTGAAACAACCGTGTCGCAGATGCACGTGCCAACGACATATGCAACGATATCCGGGAAAGAAGAAGTACACGATTTACATTTTGATTGCAGAAATCAAACGGAATGATTTATTCGCGTCTTTGCGGCATAACCGCTTTTAAAACCTTCCGTATCTCACACAGCCGTGTATCCCAATAAAATGATCTACGAACAGTTCAACCGATCATAGTCGTAAAGCAAGATAAAACGCACCGATACGATAACTTGTAATTGCTTCATTAATCCGCAAAATGCTAATTGCATGATGTAGCGCATATTCGTACTGCGGTACTACGCATTATCATAAATATAGTTCTGTTTTGTCCTTCTTCCTATTCCCCTAAATAAATCGTTCAAGGTTGAATGGGCATAAACCAGCAATATCGAGATTAAATTTAAAAATGTAATTGGATTAAATGCTTATTGCAATAGAAGAAATAGTTTAAATTTAATGTTTTGTAAATTAATTTGTTTATACGAAAAGATCATAAGACATAGAAATAAAATATTTAAAAATATTAATTATTCCATATACTTGTGACATATTCACGCAAAAAATTAAAAAACAACCTTAATTTTTAAATGACATCTACATTTAACAAAATTAATAATAAAATCTTTAATAACGAGATCTAATTATGTCTCTCTTATGTTTCTTATTTTTTTATAAACTTATCTAATAATTGATGTTTGTGCTCACGCAAACTTTTTCTTATTCTGTTGTTATCGGTTCAAAGATAATAAATCGCACAAGATTCTAAATAAGAAACATACCAGTAATTAATTATTCAGTCTGTTGATAACAGGTGAATCCGCAATATGCGAATCTCGCTTCTCGATCTTCAACAGCAATAACATGCGATTAAAACTATGGATTAAACTCACCTGCAACAGAAAACAGTTACAAGAAGATTATTTACTCAGCAATCATATACGCGTGATCAAAACATTATCTCTCTACGTCGTTTAATTAGCTTTGATAAGTCTTTCAATTTAATCAATCGTCGGCTTATTAAAATGCGCACAGTCACGCAATATACATATAAATGTAATATATAACGATATAAAAAGGTGCGAAAAAAATTGGATATTAGAACCAGCTCGAATTCAGTAGCAAAGTTTGAAACCATCCTATCAAAATTCTCAGATTCCTGCTTTCTCTTAAATTATACATATCCTATCACATTACTTTAAATTGACATTAATAATTTAATTATTTTACTTATTACTATTTAAAAAATTCCTTTTGTATTGATAAAAAAACTAGCAAAACATTACAAGAGATACTGGTTCAACTGGAGGCCGAATATTTCTCATTCACTAATACTTATACTTGATATCATTAAAATAAACTTGAATTTTCAGTCGATAGAAGAAATCTCAGAAGGAACAAGTAGAAATGGAATATATATAAAACACAAAATAAGCAGATCAGACTTTCTACCGAGCAGCCAAAAAATTAAAATAGGTTCCGTTCTATAGTGTATCTCAAATCGACTATATTAATATTTGGCCGAATGTCTGCATGCGTTTAAGAAAATTTTAATTATACATTCTGTGTTGTACATACACGTTCAATCTCTGTTTCTTTGTTGTAACTATTTAAATTGATATTAATATTTGCATAATTTTTGTCAGCATCTAGAGGGATTGTTTAACCAAGGTAAGTAATGGGTTTCTGGCCAAAGCTGCGAGTGTCACAGCGACTGCAATCGCGTAATATTCGTTCAACACCATCAGCGCAAGACTAGTTATACCTTCAAGTTACCAGCAACACTTTACTTTGGAATCAAACACGCCGCTTTGAGAAGGTAAATTAATATACTCTTGGAGTCTGTTGTCAATGCATTTAAATGTATAGAAAATATATTTGCCTTATTTAAATCGCTTAATACACAAATAGAGTAAATTACTTAAAAATTCCAATTTCTTTGCCAAATATTTTTTTCACACAGTTCTATGAGCATTGATATAACTTTTACAATTTGTCTGTTTATGTATAAGAATATATACTTATAAAAATTATATAATTTATATAGATAATTTTATATAATTTCTATAATAAAAAATCTTATACAACTGCATATAATGTATATAATGTATGTAATGTATATAATATATATGATTGTATATTATTGTCAATTATAAAAATAAAAGAGTATAATAAATGTAAGGATATGTTATTTTTAAACATGGCATATGTCTATCATACAAATATTAAGGAACATGATTCATTCAAGAATTATTTATATATTTCACAAACAAATTTTATTATTTTGCAGAAAATATCTTTCCAATCAAAATTAATAAAAATATCTTTCTAACCAAAATTAATCAAAATATCTTTCCAATCAAAAGTAATAAAAAGATATTTTCTTAAAACATGAATCATGCGTTTCTTATGTATTTTATGACTTATATGCGATAAAGGAATACATTCAAATATTATGTAAAGTCATTAATGTAAAGTCATTAATAATGAGAAATGTACAAATCTTAGAAAGGACTAAATATAGTAAATATTTAAGAAAATCTAAATTGTATTTAAATAAAAACCGATATTGTCTGCGATCATTTTCGCATATTGATCAGTTTTCATTGACAGTTCTTTAAATGATTCGTCGTAATATGTTTCCTCGGCCATTAAATCCATAACCGTGGAACATGAAGTCACCACTTCGTAACAAATTCGTTTGTAGATTTGTAATTCTCTATCGTCCTCAATTGTTGTACGAAATTTCTTACGAACGTCCTCTAAACACTCTACTCGCCGTTTATGTAGTTTTATTTGCTCATCTCTTCGTTCTTCAAAACCTGCTAAATATTTGTATGCATCCGAAATTTTAAGTGTTATCATTGCACACATTTTAATGTTAGAGTCTGCAGTGAAATATTCTTTCACTACTCTTTCAAGTAGGCTCCAAGTTTTTTCAAAAACCGATTTGGCATCAGTAAGATTTAATATACATGTTTCCGTGATCTCAATAGTTTCGTGTTTTAATTCTTTTTCCAGGGCAGGAAATATTGAATTTGGCAATTCGAATTTTATTTCTGATTCTGACATAGGATCTTGTATCTCAGAAGATTTGCTATCCTTATTCTGTGAGAATTTTTTCATCCAGAAACGTAAAAGAGAAACTCCATAGGAGCCCCAAGATATATCTCTAACGGCACGGGCATCCATATAATTTTTAGACAAGCAAAAACAATTTACTCTTTTTGCCGTTTCTGCCAAACTGATGGTTTCAACAAATTTGTGTATTACATAATCTGCAATGGCAATGTAATTTTTAGCTTTAACAAAATGACCATTTGCTAGAAAGCATTTAGACAATTCAAATAAGGTTAAAGCCATATCAAGACATTTTTCATCAAATTTTATTTTATCAAATACCAATATGTCTTTCAGTCGTTTGTTTAACATGCTTTCCACATACAGTACAAATCCGTACATATCTTTCAAATACGGCCTCTTAAGATATTCAAGTCCTAAGCCCTGTAACGTTGTATGATGCAAAGTGTTCAAGATAATCGAGGGATTTGATTCTTTTTCTTTAATACCAACAAAACTTGCTATGTGGATGGGATTAGTTTTACTCAATTTGTGTTCCAAATATAGACTAAATGCCGCACGCCACAACACCTCTTTGTTGGCTTTCTCAGAAACTAAACTCAATTGGTTAATTGCATTTAAAGATGTCAATATAGCTTTACGGTCATTCCGTTTCCCTTTCAACAGTTCCAAACATCTTATAAAACATTCTATAGCGTGATTTAAATCGTCAAGTTCTGTAGAATGAGCATATTGTAAGCCTATGTTGCAATAAGTTGCCGCTAAAGCAACAATATCGTCAAATTTTTGATCCGTTAAAACTTCGATTACATTAGAATATAATAGATCCATTCTCTCCTTTATCGCTTTAATTCTTTTCTTTTCTTTGCTTTGATTTCTTTTCTTGGCTAGTGCAATGTCTTCATCCATGTACTTTATTTCAAATGACAAATGCAGAAGATCCAAAAATTTCTTACTAATTTTCATACTTGTAACGGGTTCGTCCGGTATCGTTTCTGTATAAAGTATAAACAGTAAGAATTAACGGTGAAAAATCATTACATGGACATTTATCTAATTAAATTGTTTATATATATACGTTACCGAGTTGAAGGATTGCACATTTTTCTTCCATTACTTGTCTGAGAAACGCGAACATTATTGCCCGATATTGATACAAAGACAACTTCCAGTATAAATTCATAAACTTGTGTTCCGACTTGCAAACGTTCTCTAATCCTAAATGGGAGATTTCCGCATACACGTGCTATGAATAAAAATTGGAGGGGGTTCACACCGATATATCCAATTGAAAGTTATATTTTATAGGGATAACATTTCTCTTTATCTAGGGTCCCTAGCGCGTTCTCCTATAAGATATCGATTTGCGGACAAGTTTTCCACAAAAGAGGCATAAGATCCTACCCAATGATCGAAAGTGTCAAACTTATTTATTTATTTGTCGAATGGTCTTTTAAAAGAGCTCGTTAAAATAAACATCCTTTTTATTGTGAATTCTGAAAATTTATAATAAAGACGTAATATTACAATTATAAAAAATAACTAAAGGAAATATAATAAGATTAGATTTATATAAATTAATTTACTTGTTAATATAACTTCGTGTTTATATTAAAAAATTATTGTATTTGTTACATTAACTATTTCAGAAAACGGAACATTACATTTACCTTATACATATATGAATATAATGTATATAAGTATATGTTATATAGGTATATATAACTATGTATATCAATTTATCGATACGTGAATTGCTAGACACATACTATACTTCTAACTTTCAGGCAGAATTTTTTGGGGTCAAGAGCAAGAAACAATACCAAATAATACAACATGTACATATTTAAAATCATGAGAGAACGTATAATAAACGTCATTCCGATCTTTTCGGCCCGATTATTCGAAGCACTATACCTAATTAAAATTTAATTTACACTGATCTCTTCGAGATTATTTTCTTTCGACTGTCGCAGATAATATCACATTCGTGAAAAGAATAAATCACGCAAACGCATCAGTGTACAAGCTCGCAAAATTTGTAAAAAATTTCGCTTCCGCTGATACAACCGATGCTACCAAGTAAAAGATTAGTAGCATTAATTAATTATTCAATAATTTCGGCAAAAATGGCCGACTGGGCGTGGCCAATCGATGGATGAGGTCATTACCTCGAAAAAATCCATCCCTGCAAATTTACACAACACTCCACGCTTCGATTCACGTGATGTGATGAGGATTCCTTGCCTTTCAAAATATGCGCATGAAAAACAAGAGAGCATATAATCAAAGTTTGTGTAATATGATTGATGTAATAATGTATAATTGTAAATTTTTAATAAAATTGTTCCTTAACAATTGTTATAGACATTCCTATAGGCTTTAATTAAGATTAATTGAAATTTTATGTACGTAGATTCTCTGCCTTAGAGCTAACCCAAGGAGAATTACTTGAAAATTTCAGTTAATTTAAACGAATAACAATATACAACACATTAGGTATAGTATATATGGCAATAATCAATCTGCTCTACGCATATACCACCACATCTTTCATTGAACGGTACAGCGTGGATATGATATTGCCTTATCTGGCTTTTGAATGCTCGACATAAAGTTTTGTATAAGTGCATTTGGATGTATCGGATTGTCGTAATTGCCATGCGTGTGATTGTCACGTGTAATGTACGTGTACGTGTGACGATACGTATAATATTTATACTCTAAACCTTACACGATACAGCAAATGAAAATTCCTGAATAAATGCAGTATTACAGAAGATAAGTTCAGCGGGAAGTCACAATTATATGCAGTCATACTTGCGAGGTATCGAGTTTCATTAGCTACTTTCCACTACATAAGATGGCTGATATAATTGGCATCGTAATTTGACCGACACATACGTTCCTCGTAAATTTTAAGGCATTTTAAGCGAACGAAAGTAGTACCGTTATACAGTACCGCCAAGTAAGATTCATTTACATTTATTTGTCTCGTATACCTACATATTTTCGTACAATCGGATAATAATTTCCCTCAATAATCTTTCACGTGTATTAAAATTCTTTAATTATAATATAACATGTATAATTGCTTAAATATATAATCAAGTATAAATGTAGAATAATTTCGCAAATCTTGATTTTCTTCATATTTGTTTTGCTTTAGCGCAATATGTACTTTTCTTATTTGTTTATGCATTTATCCTTTTATTTATCTTAATCGAAAGCTATCAAAATTAAAACGCATAAAAATAAATATAAAAAACTTTAAAAAAAAGACTAAATATAATATATTCAAATATATATCGCAGAAATTGGGCTTTTTTAAAGTGCGACGATACAAAATGATCATAACAAGAAACGAGGTTTATATCGTGGAACGGGATAATATTCGCCTTTCCATTTGTTATGGGAAAATTCATCAGTATTCCCGCCCGCGCGAACCATCATACAATTTCGCCGATTGGATCACGGCTCTCACGACGTTCACGCGAGTATACGAGTACTTACATACCGCCTGCAAGGAAAGGTATGCCATGAAATCGCGGATTACCGGTGCCGCGATACACCTACCGCATTGCGATATCAGCTAGAGAACTCGGGTTCTAACGATGATTTACAGTCGACTTAAGTGTCGATGTGAGGTGTATTTCGGTGGAAACGCCGTTTCCCTACGGCAGCACGCCTCCTCGACTCTGTCGCATCTCGAATAGATCTCCCTCGCGGAACGTGTTCTCGCATGCAGTCTCCTTCGCGCGAAGACGCGATCTCGCGAGGCTCCGCCTGGCATGCGTAAATATTTATACGCGAAGGTGCGTCGATCAGGGTATCTAGCCGTGTATAACGAGACGCCGCATGCTGCGTCGCGCACGCAACGCACGCTGCACGTGCACACCACGCGAGCACGCGGCGCGCACCTAATACGTATATGCGACTAAATTATTTTACAGCTCGTAAAGCCCGAGCAAAGAATACATCGTTGCTAACGAGAGGGCCGCATCTATCAAGATAATAAGGATTACGATCTCTCCGTCGAGAGATTGTAACGTGCTCCTCGAGCGTACGAAGGCGCGGCGCGACTCGACTCGACGCGGTGGTGAAAGACCGCGAAGGAGGCAGCCATTGGAAAAGATTAGTCTACTTAGCTCGTTACGTTTTTCCCCTTTTCCCCGCGGCAAACGGCTCGCCGCCGCGCCGGTTGTAAGTAAGCGATTGTTCCACATGATGGGAAACTGCGAGTTTTTCCCTCGCGCGAGGAGAATAATAATGGCCCAGCAATTCTTTTCCTCTTTCACCATTGCTTTCATCTAGTGATTCCTTCAGCAATTAAGAACTTAATTGTATTGCATATATTCTTAGATTTTAGATTATACCATGTTATGGCTTGCGGAAAAACAAGGTCTTTCCCCTATCATAAGTTCTTCTACATATTGCAATCATATATAATATTAATAAAATTAAAAAAAAATATATATATATATATGTATATTTCTAACCACCTTCATTCATCTTATACTTTTAACGAAAGAATAGCCATTAAATTTAAAACATTTAATTTAAAAACAATATATATCTCTCGCATATATATGTAGCTCAAATCCTTTTTTGATTGAAAACAAGTGTCTCAATGGTGTTCGGGTAAAACTCACCTGTAAATTCTGCCGCGATTTTAATCGGATAAATTAATACACGCATCGTTTCCTCTTCGTCACGACTGCGCGTCGTCTCATTATGCGCCACGATGTGCCAAACGAGGCGCGCTCGTATCAATCTGATACATCCTAATGCACTTACGCGAAACCTATGATTAAGTCGAATTGGGTATCAACGTGGCGCAGGGGAAAACAAAGGACACACCGACACACTGTCGGCGAGTATACCGCATACGTGTATCACACGTCCTCCCGGCATCGTCATCGATCATCCCGACGTCACGGTAGGGTGCGTTTCGCCGTAGCTGTATCAACGGGCGATCGCATGGTTCTTTCTCATTTTTTGCCAGCTAACCATGCCATAACCCCGCCACCCCCGTCCCGACCCTCCCGGAGCCCCTCCTTACTCGTTCCTCCCTCATGCGGCTCCCACCGCCGAACTTCCGCTTACAGGCGACTTCCGGTTGGAGGGTTGAGTGTACCGCGTATCGCGGCCGTCACTTCCGGCTGGTCGGGACCGAACGAGGTTGTCATGGAGACCCACGGTCGAGTCTCCACCCTCGGACACACCCCCGGCAGCATGGCCGACACAACTTACCCTTCTCTTCGCCTGCATGCTCTCTCGACAAGGGCGTCGACCATCTCGCTCGAGGATTTCGCAAAGGCCACCCAAGATGGGTGGGTGGGTGGGTGGGAGAGCTCACGATACGGAGGGAAACCCCATGGGTCTCCGCTGTATATCGTGAAAGGACCCTCGACCCTCCGAGTGCCACTCATCCTATACCATACACAATGCACATGGGACTTGTGATGCGTATCGGTGTGCGAGCGCGCACATGCGCGCCGCAATTCTCGATTCTCGTGATCCTCTTTGTGATCGACGCCGGGTTGTACGTGTATGCATACAAGAGATATTGGATTAAACTCTGCGATATATTCGAGGACGTACGCGAGGCAAAAGCGTGACTTTCAACATGACTAAAATTCCGTTCATCTCCGTGATGAATTTTATCATTATATCGTTCTGATGCCGCTCCTATTTGACACAAACAGCGTCGAGAGCTCTCGCTGATTCGCTTTCAACTAGAAATTAATGTCGCTTTTATTCATTATTCATGCATCTTAGCTATTTTTATTATCGCATTTATGAAAAACGTTTTATTTATCTCAAATTTTTGTTTTATTTACTGCTGTAGAACAAAATAAATAGAATTAAATTTCAATTAAAATGTGCTATTTTCAACACATTGATTGTCTTCATCTTCATCGTGGTAACATTTCACATTGTTTTTGCTTTTGTTATATTTTTAATAATAAAATAATAGAAAAGTAGTCTCTATTAAATAACAACAATCGACTCCGTTTTTTTATTCAACAACAATCAATTTATATGTGGACTGTTTATATTTATTTTAAAATAAATAAATTTTTGCAAATTTGTCAAACACAATATTCTAAAGTATTGCCGCCTTAGTTTCGCATATATCTCGTATCGCAACCAATTTGTAGCGAGAAATTCACGACTGTGAAACAGACCTACTCACTCAGTTGATTCAATCCGTGCATGAAAAAAGAGAAATAGAACAAGAGAAAGAGAAAGACGCTGACGTCGGCATCGATCTGTTCAAATCCCCATAGAAATTAACTCGAGAACACTCGACTGCCCCTTTCACCGTTCCAGACACGAGCACTCGTTAAAGCATTAATTAGCGATAATCGAAGCCGTGCGCGATTCAACTGACGCGGAACGCAGAAATTTACCCGCAAGCATGCAAGTTGCGTGAATTTCTCCCTATTAGGAAACGACGGAGAAAAACAAATGATAAGAATTCAGTCGTTCTATCGATGAAGCCATTGTTACGAGCCGCGTGCGCGGAGAGTAATGCACACTTAATTATCTCTGTAGAGTACCTAAAAACTTTATCATCGCTTTTGCTTACTTTCGCCCGCGTCAATAAACATAATCCGAGGGACTCTCCCTGGTGGATGGTAATTTTAAGAGTAAGAAATGTATGCTAGAGATTTTTTGATTACCAAAAGATTCGCTCGAGCATGGGAAAATTGGTGGGTTCAAATATTTCCGTAAAACCGATTTCAAGCATCTGCTCTTCAAGTTATCATTTCCATATAATTATATATATTACACACACACACACAATCACGATACAATATATTAATATCTATACATGTTTATAGTTAAGTCATTAATTGTTAAATCCATTTTTAACGGCTGTGCATACATGAGTTATGTTTAGTGATGATGTTACCGACAAAATCGTGTTTAAATACTTGGTTGTCAACTATCTCTGCGGTGTTAACAATTTTTACACCGTAAACAATTTGTCATCAATGATTTTATACTTTATAAATTATTTTATGATGATCTAAACATTTCTTTATGAGCGTAGTTATACGTAACGTTTTTAATGTGAATACTTATTAAAGATTACTCATAATGGAATTATTTACATAGGCATTTACAACATTTTTATGATGTAAATATTATATTAAACTCAAATAAGTTGGATCATTAAAAATTATTATTAATAACAAATTATATATCATTAAAAGTAAATTATGGTATATGATACTAAATAACGTCTAAACTATTATTATTGAAAATTATAATCAAAATTATAAAAGTTGCCATATTTAAAACACAAATACACGCTTTTGCAACTTTTTATTTTAAATATTTTATCTACATTGTAATTTCAATTTTGCTTCCAAATTTAGCGTCTCGAAAACTGCTTCGTTATACATATATCACATTTTACTTTTTATTATTGCAGAGAAATAGAGAAAGACAAGCAAACGTTTGCGTCAAAATCGCTCAAAAATAAATTTACAACTTTTCATAAACAATAATTAGCAAAGTAGTACGTATATAATCAAATTATAGAGCATATGAAACATATACTATCCATGCTACTACCACAATTCTGAAAATGCAATTGTCGAATTAGTGAATGTCTCGTAAACTTTAATTTCACACTCGTAAGACTCGTTTAATTTCAGTTATCATGTCCGCTGCTAAAATGACAGAAATGTTGTTACAATATGTGGAAATTATTCGTTATGGTCACGCAAACGACATTATATTAATTGTACAGCAAACTCACATCCCTATGGATTGCATGTGAAATACACAATTTTAATGGCATTCATATATGAATGCCATTACGCCAGTACGCGTATACGCGTAATAGGATGTTTGAATTTCCATAAACAATTTAATACATTTCAGTTAATCTTATGTGTGCGGCGTTTATTTGCCTTTTAACAGCATTGCATATTATATCGTATTGCTTGTACAAATTTAAAGAAATATATTACACGCACATTTTAGCTATGAATTAAATTTAAATATTGCATACTTTTCAATTTAATTTCACTGTTTTTAAATTTGTAGAATATCTGTTAATTTTTCTATATTATTTTCGTTTTTTATAACAATGATTTTTATTCAATTATAATACTAGATGTGTATTTCATTTTTGATGGATTAGAACAAAAATAATGCATCAATTCATATTAAAATTCAAGATATTTTTGTTTGAAACTCTTGTTTATTGAAAATTATGTTTCAGTTGGAACATTTTCTTAAAAATATAATTCAAAAGTTATATATTATATATTCTCAAAAATTTTACAGAAATTGAAGCAATTAATATTTAAAAAGACCGAAAATTGCAGAAGTAATATTCAAAAACCTTCTCGAAAAACTTAATTGAAATTAAAGCGATATTTAATTTCATACTTGCAAAAAACCTCATAACATTAAAAAAAAAGTCGTCTGTGCTCATTCTCGACTGTACAAGTATTCGCGCATGGGATAATGGCGGCGACGTCAATTACACGCAGACAGGAGGAAGTGGGGAAAAGGGTCCGACATCTTCAGTCCCGAAATCCCCAGCCGAATCGCAGCCCCGGTGCGGCGCCCTTCAAATTCATCAGAGCGCGACGTGTCATTCGCCCACGAAGGCTTCGAGTGCCCGGGCCGGGCCGGGCGTCGTCACCGCAGCCGTCACCGACGTCGCCGCCCGCATCGAGCCAGCCATCCGCACAACGGGAAGGAAGGCGAAAATCCGGCGACAAAAGGTCGTCGCGGTCCAAGCGTGCTCGAGAGAGCTCCTCTGATCTATCTCGAGCCGCGATGGCGAAGAAGAAGAAAAAAAAGAAGGGCGAAAGAGGGACGAATAGGTTGAACGAAATTCGGGCGTCGGCGTCGCGCCGTTCTCAAGTGGAGAACGTCGGGCCAGAGGAAAAAAAAATCCATACCGATGTCGTTGGCGCCCGGAGGCGGGGCCAAGTATATATGTACCATGCGGAGAGGGTGCCGACGACTCCCTTTACAGCGACGCACAGGGGCGCAAATGATAATTCGTCGGCATAGCAACGCCCGTCCTATCGCCCGTCTCGATGCTCTATGCATGGATATTCTCGTTCCTTTCTCTCACCCCCTGCCCATGCCCCGATCCTCTCCAACCCCCTTTCAAACGATCCTCGCCGGATCCCTCGCCGTCCTCCCTCCCCAGTCGACGCTTCGAAGCCGAACGAATGGCGCTCGTGAAATCGTGTTTTCTTCCTTTTGAAGATCTCCGACCGGGTGCACTTGCCACCCTCGAGGCCGACAGGGAAAACTCGACGATGCGAGGGTAGGTAGGATGGAAACGTATTAGGAAAGCCTGGCCTGGTCTGTTGCCACGGCAACAGCCTGGGAGGTTCGTTGAGGAGGATTGGGTCGATCCTGCCCTCGGTGCTAGACAGAAGCAACCGAATAACCTTGAAATATGCCTCCCTCTCGGATAGCTTTGCTCGCGATACAATAGTGGGAAGTGGTGTGGCGCGAAGGGTGCAATATCGACTGTGAACGCACTTGGGTGAACTCGTTACTAAGGACGATCATTAAATATTATACGGTTCAGGGCTTGAAAACTCCATTGAAAGCATGCTGTTGGATGTTGGAAACATCCTTATCTCGTCGAGAGAAATATTTTTATCTCACATAATAATTCTTGCATAATCAACTCAAACAGTACAGATATTTAATGAAATTCGTAAGAATTGTAAAATTTTTTAAATTGTTAACTTTTTAAAAAGAGGTCACCACCCATTTCAATTTTAAAAAGACAACCTTTGATGTGCGTAAGTAAATATAAAGAGAAGATATAATATTGCTTTTTCTGTGAGTAAAAGGAGAACATTACATAGCACGTAAAAAATTTTTAATTAACTTCTGTTTGATCTATAGTACTTCTATAGATCTATAGAAGTAAAATTAGAGAATGAATGATTTCTTGAGTATAAAGATGAAAAAAAGAAATTAATAACATAAGTCTATAAAAAAAGAAATCGCAATTTAATCTCAAATCTCAATTTAAATTATTTTAGTAAAAACACGAGAAAAGAAAATGTTCGCTATATTGAATATAATAAAAACAAACAAACAAAAAAATGATTTATTTCCGCATGTCTTACTCCATGTACTCCTTGTAAGGAAAAAGAAAAAGAAAGGAAATAAAGAGATAAGACTGCACACAATGAAAAAAAAATGACGATGGGGGAAGCAGGCTGCACGAACGAACATTTTGCGATACACCATCGGGATCCTGTAACGAGTTGTCCCCGTAATAATAACCTGCCCGTTGAACGATGTAGATCGTAGACGATCACGAGACTGACGCTACTTTGATAGGCAATTTGTCGCGATCGCCGGATCTCGATTAATATTCAAGTTCCGCTGCCTGCTGGCGTCTCTCACGCGGTGACAGCTAAACGCAGCCTGCACGCACGACGTGTGTGCGGGGCATAATTATTTTTAATTAAAAGCATCTCTTCTCTTTTTCCAGTGTCGATACGTTCACGCGATTATATCTGATTTCCTTTCGAACGTCGGACAGAGCGTCACGTCCGCGTCGGGCAGGTCGTAGCTTAAATCGCCAACTTAACAAGGCGAATATATAAACCCATCATTCTTCGACTGCCATCGACGATGACATTTCTCATTGAACTTGTAATTTGCGTTAATTAAATCTATGCTACTTGTAAATGCATTAATTTTTTTAATGCAACTTAGAGAGAGATCCTGTTGATTACTGAATATTATAAATAACGATGTGATGTCAAAAGTAAAGTAACATAAAAATTAATATATTTATCTTTATAACTTTCATCTCTTTTACACATACACAAACAATTTCTATATCATTTTTTTATCTTATCTCATATTTTATAGACGAGAGGTAACTCTCAAGAGATAAACAAACTATTTACCTAATTTACATATCAAAACAGAAAAATATTTTATAGTTTGCATTTTATTTTTTTAATAAAAGAATTAAAAAAGAAATTATTTAATTTTATTTTTTATTTTATTATTAGATATATTTATGAAATTTTAGTAGTAGATATTTTAGTATTTTTTAATTATATGTATATATATATATAATATAATAATAATAAGTGAGACATATATAATAAGCAATAGAAAAAGATGTGTACGTCGAATAAAATTAAGAAAAACCTGCCCTTCATTGACTTAGCTGATAGATAGATCAATTAAGATATCAGCAATATGCAATCAAGATAACGTCTTGTCCACGATTATTGCAATTAGTTTTTGATGAGAAATACGATATCAACTTATGCAAACATTATTATGTAAATCGATAAAGACATAATTGGCAGTTAAAATAGTTAAAAAGCGAAAAACAAGATCTATATTTTAAATTATTAAATTCCAAAGTTATTTGAACAAAATTATTTCTAGTCATTCTAGACAAGGACCATTTTATGACTTATCGACCTCACAAACGTCTCGACATGCTAATTAACCTGACTTGAGCAATGCTTTTGCCCTTCGGTCAAAAGTATAAATCGTGTGAATGCTATTTCGCCAGCTCGCTGAGATAAAAAGTAACTACGACACTAATTCGGAAAATAAATCGTTCATCACGATATAATGATAACTAACAACCAACCGGACTCTGACTTTCAGTATTTATGGCTGTGAGTTTCTATTAGAATGTCAATACTCTACGTGCGAATAATATCGAGCACTACATTCAATGAAATGACCGGTTTACAAGACGACTAAAATTTTTTGCGATCAAACATGCCTATAAATATACCTCACAAAATCGAACAGAAACGACATTACTTAAATTAATTTTATACGAAAATAGTAATAAGGAAATCCTTAATCGCGAATATCAGCTGCCGATCGGTGCATTCGGTTTATATATTCGCTGTATTTAATTTTTTGAAAGTTTATTTAATGGAATAATTTTTTAAAATATTATTGAATTTTCTTTTTAACGCAAACAGAATCAAATATTAGAAACGAGAATATTAAGAATAATAATTATACTAAGATTTTTATCCGAAAAATCACAGTTCATTTTACTGATTCGTAAAGAATAATTATTCAAAATTGCACTATGTTCAAAACCCATCACACTATTTGTATCGTAACAAAAACATGTGTAATATTCGATACATATATCATTAATCATTATATTGTTACAATTAACATTATATTGAAAAATGTATTAATTCGAATCTTTGCTTTCACAAATGTAAAAATAAAAGTTTCAGCCAATTTGTTACAGTAAAAAATTGATACGCAAAAATAATGCAATATTAAAGTACATATACGGCCTCCATGACAAACGATAATCTCACACTATAATGAGAAGTTACGATTCGATAGCAATCTTGTAGAATTATCGAATTGCAAAAAAATTTTGCATTACTTTATTATTTTCCATTCCTACACTGTGCAAAGGGAACATCAATAACTTTGCCATCATGTGACTTGTCAGATAAGTAACCAAAGTAGTAATTTAATAATTTCCACTTCGTCCTTCTAGGTACTTAATTATTAACGATTTCTCGACCAAGAGTTTTTTCAGGAGTTTTTTCATAAGTTGTATCAGTGCCACTCTAACGCTTCCATGCGAACTACACACCATACATGAAAATGCACATAAAATGCACGAAAAGATGATAGAAATAGTTTCGTATAAAGGATAAGCATTTTATTAGAAAATAAAATTTTATTTTTAATCTGTGTAAAGAAAAAATAAAAGAACATATTTCAGAAAAATAATTTTACTTTAAAATAAAAGTAATGTTAATTAATATCCTATTTTTAAAAGTAGCTATTTAACATTGACAAATAACATTCATGCCCATATCCTATTTTAATTTTTATATTTATGTATAAACCATCACTCCTTTTTTTGCTAATATTCATACTATCGAGATTCAAATTCGAAAAATTGAATATTGAACTACCTACATATCTGAGCAAACGGCGGGTCGCTTTTTATAGAAGTTTCAAGTAATTTCTAAATTGATATCTTTTCCTGAGGGATCTCTCCTAAATTACCGCTTGGACCAACTTAAGTAGAAAATTTTCATTTTGTTTTCACAAATGTGACATCTTGCCCTTGAATCTATCTTCCGAATCGCACGAACTAGCCAACTATAATCGAATGAGCAGTATCGCGCCACTCCCAGCGGATTACGTGAGCGAGGCAGCCACATGCATTTCGATCCGTTGATGTATTACGTGTACCTGTACATACACCTACAAATGATCAGGCTCTGGACCAGTCAAGCCGGTCTGCCGCTCGGTTCCTGGTTCCTGATTCCCGGTTCCTGTGCCTCTCGCCCCCTTCGTGCAAAACTTTCAAGGCAATCCTCTTCGAAGCGGTATGCGGCTCCGGTCAATCCACCATAATTTCACAACAAAGAAAAGCAAAACTTGCAGTTTTTTCGTAATTAATTGAGAAAACATCCCTTTTAGAACATTGGGTAATAAGAATTCGAAGAAAATAACGTTAGTTAAGAACGTCCAAATATTAAATGATTATCTAGATGTAGACTGATTTAATCGAGTTTGTTTGATTTAGTTGTTATATGTAGATTATGATCTTTATCATCGCTATTTTAACGAAAAAATTACGATACATTGTACAATGAATTGACATCATTCATTTGGCATTCTTAAGTATAGATATCTACATTAGATTAATTCTTTACTAATAGTGAAAACAATGATATTATATATCATTGATTTATTTAAAAATGTAAGAACAATACAAAATAAAATTTATTTTTTTATTAATTGTGTAATTAATTGTAATTTGCAGTCAGTTATATGGGATAATTGTAAATTACTTAGGGCTACTTCGACCAAACTCCGATTAACTTAATCGTTTATTAGTCCATTGGAAATGATCAATCGCATTTGCTCATTAAATAGATTGACAAATAATGCGATTGGTCATTTCCAATGGACTAATCAACGATTAAGTTAATCGGAGTTTGATCGAAGTGACCCTTATATTGTCCTTCAGTATTAATACAAAATTCATAAGTTAATTAATGACAGTTGATATAAGTATCAAATTAAAAGTTAACGTCGAGTCAGAGACATTACATAAGAAACCGCGTATATGTCGCATACTTCTTTGATCATAGAGGTTAACATTAACATCAACTACAATCACTGCAATGTCCATCCACTGGGATGTGGACGAAATGACCAAAAGATCGGTTTGATTTATTATATACAGACACGGATCGAACGAAACGATGCACCATTTACGCTTCGATCGGCGAGTGTTTTGCGCCGTTCGAGAAAAAAGGAGGTGGAAGAACCTGTCATGCCACTCGAGCCCGGAAAGGAAAAAGAAAAGCATGCAGCCGATGTCGTTACCGAACGGAAATGAGGAACGATTCGAGAATGATCTGGCCAACGCGCCGCAGAATATGTATGTCTAACAAGGAGGAGGGGAGCCCCCCGTGAGCCCCCGTCCGATGATTGCGTACGTCCGATGATGGATCCACACGCGTAGCACCATCGGCGATTACATGCAAAAGAGGGTAAGGAAAATCCTCTCTGTTTCGGTTTCTAGGATAAGGCCACCGATCTGCACTGCCCACCTACAGCTCTCGTATAATGATATCGATAACGACGTCGTGTATGCGACTAAAAAGCGCGCCAGCCACGAGAACACGTCTACCACGGACGGGACGGAGAGGCAGCTGCTGATTACACTCATCGAGCGATAGATCGGTTCTCTCGGGAAGTTATATGGCAAATGGAAGTGAACCACGGCATGGAGCTATTCCCGGGCCACCTACCGCTCAGCGTAATAATATTGACAGCGATCGGCAGCAGTGTAAGTAAGCAAACAAACTACGTTCGCTAGCCACCTAAAGCGCCACGGAAACTAGAATTGAAGTGAAAAAGCTATTATCTGTACTAACGGTGATCATTAGCGACATAGTCGATTTATCGGAACAAAAAATACTTCGGGGCGCGCGTAGAAGTAAACTTATTCTTTAAGAAACATTCAACTTAAATTATTGTTACTTATTACAATATATATACGATTTTACTTTGTAATTTATTTAAAATTCAAAGCAAAAATTTAAAAATAAAAGTATAGCTGCATTTAGAGATACAGCTGATGGCCGACGGACTTACATATTTTAGGCCTACAGAATATCCGTAGTTGGTACTCATCAAGAAACAGATAATTAAAAGTAATTTTTCCAAATTAATTTTGTTTTTATATTTTTTATTGGATTTTATTGATTTTACTGTTTAACACTTATGAATATACCATCTCAACTAAGATTGTTATTTTGTATCAGTTTTTTGTACATACTACTGATATTATAAATATGAGTTAGAGTTTTTTACTAAATATATAAACAATAAAATTATTTCAAGTTAAATTAAAATATAAAAAAATATTCTATATCTTTTATATCATAAAATGTCAATGCAACAGATTAACCAATATTTTACTCGTTCCAGTAATAATCACGCAGATTTAATCAATCATTATATAATAGTAAAATATATTCATGATAGCATTACATAATAGCACTTAAAATATCCAATACATATTAAAGTACTAAATACATTATTGATTTTCAATTACACGTATTGCATAAATACGAGTTGCACCGCGTGCACGTAACTCGTATCAAATATTTAATAAATTGCGAATTGCGTGTTGTTAAGGAGGAAAAAAAAGATTGTCGTCAAAGATATTTACTCTGTCTCGTTTGTGTAACTATATTTCAGCGAATTTCCAGTCTATGTTCCGCGAGATAAGCTAGACAATAATGACGAACAATATGCAGTTACGCTATTATAAAGGTTAAATTATTGCGATGTCTAGCGTTATCATTCTGTATCGTGTTATCTATTACGCTATCGTGAGCAACGCAGGTTGGCGGGTCTTTTGCTAAATCGGCCCATTATCCAATAGAAATTGTTATCGCGGCCGTTGTGCGGTCTGGCGCGAGAGCAATTTTGCCGGGAGAATATGAAAAACATTTCCAAGTGCGACAAACATGACATAAGAACAAGCAACACGATCGCTCATTTACTTTTATCTTCATCTGTAAATTCCGACGGCATAATAATTTTTAACAGCACCGAACCTATAATATTTTCAAGTTCGTGCATCGAGTTATCTCTCGATAAAAAAAAATACACTCTATTTTACAATCCGCCGAATGATCATCTATCTTAACTCCTTCGATCATGGTGATTCAATTATATCTTTTGAAAAATTCTTACGCTTGATACGTCCCTAATTCTCCCTAGCGCAAATAATCGATGTAAAACTTTGTAACCGACAGATATCCGATAGATATCTGACTGTTCTCGAAATGAAGATCGTTCCCACCATCTTGACAGTCCTCTGTTAAATTAGCTGTCGCGTCTGAGAAGTTACATTGTTAAATCGAGAGGATGGTTCGGGAATAAAGTGCGATTAATTAGCACGATATATCGTCAAATTATACGTTACCGCAATAGCGATACCGACTTATCTCTATATTTCACGACAGACACACAACGGCAGGTACCAACACCTATGATCGCCGAAGCCAAAAGTGTGCCCTCTTATTATAAAGTAGCTCCACTTATCTCGATTACGCGGTTCTCTTTTTAATCGAGCACCAACCGATCGATCGGCACGTAGAAATCGAATCAGAGTACACCTTGCAATTCGGGAGCTGGCCATCAGTTTCTCGCGCCATAATGATATGTTTAATTAATGACATATAGATTAATGAAAGCGCTGCTCAAGCCCGCGCTTTCAAGATTACTGATTTACGATTATAGCCATTCCATGGATTTCTGACATATTTATTTTGTGTAATCACCCTTAATGAGGGAAGCTCGCGTATAATACAAGTTAATCTTTATAGTCACACGAAAAATTTACAAATGTCTCTTTAGTTCTTCTATAGTTTCAGTTTCCATTCAACGATTTGCAACTAACAACTGCATAAAATATTGAAATGTACAAGATCCTTCATAAAAATAGCAGTAAATGGTGGTCCGTATCTTCGTTGCTAGCACTACGAAAAGATTCGGATCGCATTATTTTGCAATCGCATAAACGCAATGTCTTCGTACAGAAAAAAATTATCGTTCTATTTTGCACTATACAACCGGATAAAATCGCAAACACGTAGCGATTTCTCTCAACTGAAAAAGGTTCTTCGGCGAGAAGTTCTGAGAGCCGAGCGTTCAACGAAACGCTCGGCGAAGGACTCGGCAAAAGACTCGGTGAAAGAATGCAACAATGTCGACCGGATGGTTTGCACGTGACAGCGGCACGACAATCCGAATAAGGAAGTTTCTTAACGGCGCGTACGTGTCGACGTACGCTCACGTACGGTCCGTGCCGCTAAAGTATCAGAATCCTCACGTGTGCGATATCCGATTCGAATATGCCCAGCCCATTCAAATTTCAAGTGATATTCCGTACGTAAACCGATAAAGTTAGTTATCAAGTTATTGACTAACTAAAATTTTGATAATATTACTGATTGGATTAATTTTTTTATTGTGTTGTAATAAGTATTTTTCTGATACATCACACTATTACATGTCTCTTATTGAGTAATAGATACGGTCGTCATCAGCAATGGCAGCAAAGCATTTTCAATCTGTATGATAGTATTTAATCTTGCTGTTATATACTTTTACTAATTTTAGATAAATACTAGTAAAGATTAGAGAATATAGTCTTGAAATAAAATAACTGTTCCGAATGGGAGAAAAATGCATCAGCAGTAGAATGAAAAGGAACTTCCAGCATCACATAAATTTTGAGAATATATAGATTATAAAAATTGAAAATGAGTAAAATTTAAACTTTACTTGTACTAACTTAAATGCTTTTTTTTTGCTCCAATGTGTAAAGTGATCTTCCCGCTGATGCACCCTCATTCCGTTCTATGGTACTCCCGTGCAGCACATTCAATAAGCGAGTGATATGAATCATAAATTATGAAAAGTGTCCGCCTTCGTGTGTTACTGAATCTATCAACGTAGAATGAATAACGAGTGTAGGAGCACCACAAGTTTTCATATTCATCATGAAACGCGCCGCGGGTAAGGCACTCGGGAGTTTCTCAGAATATCTATTTCTATTAGAGATTCTTGTTAGCAAGCAAGAAACACGCATCACACGCGCGCGGCCGCGCGCAGGACGATTCGAATGAATTAGGGATTCATTTACAATTACAGTGGGAGGTTGATGAAGCAACAACAGTGCATAAAGCTCATTAAGATCGCGCAGCGAGAGCTTTACCCTGTGTTATATTATCGACATTGATTGCAAATGTGTAACCCAGTCGTCGTCTTCCGAACCTTAAGAAGCGCGCTTAATTGTAAATGAAGCAAGCCGCAATTTACCACGTTTAATTGAAAACATGCTCAACAAGCAGCACTGATTACTTTCTTTCGGCGATCCACATGATTAATGCGGGGATCCTGATCGATCTAACCAGGCCGGTATGTTGTACAAGTTGGAACTGTGTAGGGCTAGTGCTAGAGCATTCAAATTGTATTATATTTTTTTCATTCTTTGTTAGAGATTATGTACGAAATCATATATTATCATAAACTTAAAATATGTCGACGTAAAAGTTATATCCACTTTGAATAAATAAAATTTTCGAATTATGTATGATTGATATCTAACTTGTATTAAAATTGACTAATTATTATCTTCTCGGTATACTTAAAAACATAATTTTTATGTTATTTTTTATATGATGTTATTAAATCAACGTTTATAAAATTAAACGCGGTGAAATAAAATACGCTATTTAATATTTAACTTTAATTAAATTTACATTTATATATAATATTGTATTATTCACTGATTTCAAAATTATTGACATTTTTTCGAATAAAACTTTAAGCATCCAATCTCCAATCTTAGCTGTTCATATCCATCGTTAGAAAATACGGCTCAAAAATGCTTTGTATGTTCCGACATGACGGAAAAGTGAAGATTGTTGCTACAGATCTAAAGACTCGTGATTTTCATACTTCAAAGCGATTTTATAAACTCAAGTGACTGGAGAAAAATTCGTGTGACGCCAATCGCGTCTTGTAGAGGAACGGCATAATCGAAATGTCCAAATATGTCGATAATGCGAAAAAATAAATCACTACAGGTTGTCGCATAACTTTCAAATGCCTTTGACGGATCAATAATTGGGCGAAGATGATAGCGCCGCGTTCAGACATCGATAAAAAGACGTTCGTCGTATGCGAAGAAACTGGTTCCCAGGCGGATCTACGATTAACAATCTGCGAATCGACCAGCACGATCATTTTCTCGTGTTTTTTTTTCTCTTGTACGAAACGAGAACCGAAGTTGCAAGCGAGAGTACATGTGTAGAATAACCCCTACAACATGCATGATACGGCACATCTATGACAGTTGCAATTTGTTCGAATATTATGCCGATTCCATAGAAAAGTACGACAGTGATTTCGTGAGACGTGATTGTCGATTATTTACACACGGTAAGAAAAATGAAAAGAAAGAAAAATCGGACGCACAGGATTACGACGACTCGAAGAGAATACAGGATAAAATGTTAAAAACAAATAATCATGAGTCTTTATATAATTTCTTTTACGAAAATTAAAAAGTTCTTTAAAATGTCACGATTATATATGATTCGGCGATATAAAATTTCTTTCGCAATGCATATAACGTTTTATTAATACCAAGCCATAAGTTTCAACAATTATAACTTTTTAAGACTAAATGAGTTATGTTCTCGTCCGGTTTATTAATAGTTACGATAGAGAAGAATCATTATAAAATGAACGAAAAGAACAATC